TGGGTGTGTGCTCAGAGACTTGGAAAATCCGTGTGCAATGTCAGTGGAAAAGCGCAGCAGAGGAAGAGGTCAGGAACTATGAGTATTTATGTGGGTGCAACGTGGCGTATGATTAATGAAAAAAGACAACTATGTTGCACTTTGCCTTTTGGAGGGAATTTAAGCACTGACTGTGGATGGAAATGATAAGAAATAAGAGGAAAAATTATAATATTTTAAATAAAATAAAAGGAATATAAACTAAGCTTTAATATAATGAATAATGTATATGATCCTGATCCTGTTCTCTAATTGAAACCTTAGTTTGGCCATCTGAAACCTTTAAGCCTTAAGCCAAAAACAATGGCAAAATGATCGGAATATAGTGAATGGACAATAGGAATCGATTAAAACCAAACCTTGATTGAATTTGCCAAATCCAAAGCAGTTATGACGAACTGGATAGTACGGGGCGTGTGGGTATGGTATTATGGAGAAGGAAATTGAAAGACCAAGCAAATAAAAGAAAAATGAAAAGGAGGCATGAGACAAAGAAGCGCTGCAGTGGCAGTGGAAGTGGCAGTGGCAGTGGCAGCAACAATAATAACAATCAACTCCGCCCCCAAAATGCCATTTTCCTTCAACCTCTTTCCCGGTTTTTTTCACTTTGGCTGCTCCTTGTTTTCTTGGCTTTGCAGAAAGCTAAAAGGGAAATAAGCAATTTCGGCAAATAAATCGTAAAAAGTAAAAGTAATAAAATCACGAAAATGAGAAAGGAAAACCACGCACACACATGTGCAGGGAAAATGATGGGAAAATGAAAATACTCGTTGCTATCAAAAACAGACAGCAAACGCAATCGCAATCGAAGTAACTGAGAACATCCATGGAGAAGGTGGGACGAGCCGGAAAATGGGGGGCTGGGGGTCTGGGGGAAAGAAAGCCAAGTCGGAGCGTGAGATAACGGTTAATGTGGTGGCAATGGTGGTGCCAACAGTGGGGCAAATCCTTGATTAGAAACGGCCAACCGAAAAGGGGGCAGAGTATCACAAATTAATGAGTGAACTGGAGGGAAGTTATGAAAATATTGATTTTATTTTTGGGGGTAGATTGGTTTTATTTTATTAAGTTATATGAGGTGGCAAGGCCTTTGTTTCATTTATAAAGAGTTTAAAGCTAACTCAGGGCAGGACTTGATTGCTTTTTCTTACTTTTTTGCAGACAAAGCTGGCTTCTCTTTGCCAAACTTCAATATAATTGATTTCTCACATAGACAAAGCCTCGGCCAAATTAATCCCCCTTTCTATGGCCAAAAAGAAATGCTAATCAATCGGGCCAAACAAACCGAGAGACTAGCTGGCATATGAAGTCATGGACTTGGAACTTTTCCAGTTTCCATTTAGCTTGGACACACACAGAGATAGACCCCTGCTCACTCCCCAGATTAAAAAAGGCCTAAAGCAGGGCTGTAAGCCAAGTTTTTGTCAGGGGGATTAAGGTACTCTTTAAAAATAAACTTAAATCTTTAAAATTGTAAAATATTTTAGGGCATATCATATTCTTTATAGGATCAAGGCCCCTTGGACGCCCCTCAGACGCCTCTGCCCTAAACAATCATATAGTTTCCCCTCCGCCGAAGGAAATGAACAAGACGTTGAGTCACCTCAAGTTGTGGGAGTGTGGAAAAGCAATCAAAACACGAGGCAGAGACAAAGGCGAAGATAAATAGAGGCAGACAAGCAAAATATTGCCTTTTTGTGGCAGCAACAAGAGGAAACAGATATACTCCACATATACATACATACATGTATCCACAATATACCGCAGAGAAAATGAAGATAGGGAGCATCAGGGTGTGGAGCAGGTGTGGGTCATTTTTATTTTATGGGCCCTCAAATGTATGCAACAATAAATTAAATCAAAACATCTGGATTTGACCTTGACAAGCCGGGGTGGAAGCAGGACATATCAAGGATGCACAAAGGGCAAGCAATTTGCGACTTGCAGTCCATTGGCGGTCACTCCGGGGCCATGAACCCTGCAGCTGTTTTGGCCCCCATCCCCCCCTCGCCCCTCTTTTTCATCGACTTGTATAGCCATCTCTTCTTCTTTGTGTGCACGTCAGGACCTCGGGGGCAATTTCCTTTTCCAACATTCCCACGTTTGTTTGTGTGTGTGAGCTGGGCTGTGGGGGAGTGTGGGTAAGGCAAATAAGCATAACGAGCGCCATTATCCTTGGGGATGCTACTGGGATGCAGCGCTGCAGCGTATCCTTGCTCTTGCATTACGCATACGCCATGTGACTCACGACGGAAAACGGAACGGAAACGGTCCTTTCGCAGGACCACCAAATTGAAATAATATGCATGGGACAGCAAATATGAAAAGGAAATAGCGGAGTCGGAGATGAAAAAATCATGACTCAGCTGCCCTCATATGCATATGTATATACCCTTATCGCCAGATACGAGGATTAAAGGATTAAGGATGTCCAGGAGAGGACATGGAGAGTTGCTTTTATTTCAGATAAAGGTAGCTTAAATAGAAATCATAGAACAGAATAATAAAACTTTAAAACTTTAAGATTTAATTAAAAACACTAACTAATATTAATGGCTTTCACCTTTAATTAATTTACAACTTTAGGTGATGTTTAAAAAAATCTTAGTACAGTGTACACCTTAATTTCAATTTCCTCTTAAGCCCCCAAGCTGTTTCTGGAATTCCAAATAATAATACCTTAAGAAAATAATAGACAGGAAATCATGTTCCTTGAGGCTTTTATTTTCCTCCTAATGCCACTTGTTTTATAGAGTAAAAAAAAAGCCAACAACAGCAAGGACCGCCGGCGGATGCAGGTCCTGTAAACTAGAATGGGGAAGCGGCCATTGTACACACGGAGGTCACAGCGACAGTTGGGCCCCTTCTTCGCCATTCTTAGCACTGACTTTTGTTTTGGCAAACAGCATGAAACGAGAGTTCACAGGCCGGGCCAGGACTCTCCGCCCCCTCATTCCAAGGCCTCTTCATTTTAGCCCGGTTCGCTGTTTGCCGGCTGGGGGGGGGCGGCAGCATCATTAACATTATGTAGGCACAACAACAACGGCAACAACAACCGGCGACACTGACAGCAGCAGCAACAGACGGCATCCCTCTATTTCCCGTCCGCACCCGCACCCTTCTCCTTTTTTCACCTTTGCCCCCGAGCTACACCTGAAGTTGTAATTTATGCTCTGACAAAATGGCGCACACACACACACAGAGACAAAAAAAAGGGCGGAAAATGGGAGGAAGAAGCAGCTCACGTAACAACTACGGGGAGGGGGCATAGTTAGCCTATGTGTTGCACTTGATGGGGTGGCTACTTGTGTGTATTTATGTATATGTATGTGTATATAGGCGGTTGGCCTTTATGGTCGCATAAATTAAAGCATCAAGGATTGAAGTATTTTATGATAACTTGAGGAGAAGAGCTCCTGGCTTGGAAACAGGACGAAACAAAAGTAAGCCCAGATAAGGAGCAGTTATAAATTAAAGATTTGTGAACGATTTTAAAAGGTATTTATGGACTAAGCTCAACTTAAGATGTTCTTCCTTGAAAAATCATTACAATTTGCAACCTAGCATCCATCAGAGTTTGGAAAGGAAACTTTAATGGCTTCCCATGAAAAAGGAAAAACCTCGCAGATCTGTTTATCTTTCCGCCACAATTCCAAAACGCGAACAAAGCCAAAGATATATACAGACACGTGCATTTACCTACCTGGTCGGAAAGTTTGGAGCAAACTGCATAAACGAAACTTCTTATAAAGTCTATAAAACGTAATGACTCGCGCTACATGCGCGCCCTGAAAAGTATGCTGCACAAAAATAAAGAACTTCCCCCTGACTTTGACTTGACAAGAAAATCAGGAAAAGTCTATAAAGCAGAAGAACAGGGCACAAGAAAATTCCTCCAGGAAAATATTAAGTTTTACAGTGTCCCAGCTGGAGGGGAATTGATTAAAGCCGCAGACCCGGGGACTGAGACAGATTTGGGACAGGAATTAAGCTAAATTGGAAAAGTTGCGGTTTTTCAAAGTTTATTTTTAGCGGAGCCAGTGGTCTATAAAGCTCTTATCCTAATATTTCCATCTCAGGGAGATATCCACTGTACCAGCTTCATTGTGCATTTATGACGTCAAGTCGAGTCGATTGGGAAGTGTGACTGCACTTGAAAAGCGCCCAAGGCGCTCGGCGAACGTTGAAGGATTTTGTGCAACAAAATGTCAAATCACCGACACTGGGACACCCAATACCAGGACATGTCAGGACACACAGGACCCACAGGCCGACTGAAAACCGAATTTGCATGCAACATCGCGCCTCGGTATTTGTATTCCGGCCATATACGCGAAAGTGTGGGTGTGTAAGGATTGGGAATTGAAATTGGTTTGCAAAATGGCAGCTATTTATATTTGTTTTTTGGGTGTGTGAGTGTGTTGAGGAGGGGTAGTCGTCTGCACTTGTCACACTGATTTCTGGCGATTAGAAATTAATCGAATTTTACTGTCAAATCGAAAGCGGCGGGCGCCAGGAAGTTGCCGTTACCAAGGCAATGCCAAAAACAACCAAACACAGACATACGCGGAGAGTATCCTGCCAGTCAGGGTGGACCTAATTAAAGGAGTTTAAAAAAAAAGGATAATAATAGAGTCTTAAAACTAAAATATCTGATTTATCGAGAATTCTTTAAGTCTCAAAATACTAAAACTAAATCCCCATTTTGAAAATATATTTCGTCCTTATCGAACCACCCTTACACACAGACAAGCACACACACTCTCCCACACCGGACACACACACAAACGGAGGGGCGACTGACAGACACTGACACTGAATGTTACGCAGTCGGCGGTCTTGTAAGCAAAATACCGTTACATTTCGCCTAATGGCTGATAAGCTGCTTTCGTTTATATAAGCCACAGAAATTAAAAAGAAGCCATGTCCTTTAATCGCTTCGCCCTCAGCACTCCTCTCACCTGTTCCACAATTGTCGACATTTTGATGGGTTTTATTTGATCAAAATCACTATCAAAATTTCTGGCACTTGCTAATCGTGCACTTATTCGTTTCCAAAAAAGGGGCTATCTTCTTTTTATTTAGTTAAACCGCACCGCATTTTGGGGATTTGTTTTTATATTTTTGTTTTTGGTTTATTCTGCTTTTTTTTTTAATAGTACGAACTTTGAGAGAATAATTCGCGGCTTTGGACGCGCAACGCTGGCCGCCGAGTTGCTGCTGCTAAAATCAACTAAAAATCCTTTTTTGGCGAGCAGGATACTCACGGTTTTTTATCCTGGCCGACAGGAAAGAGTGATGCCACTCTAACAGAACTTTCGGCGCTTTGCAACACCAAATGTACGCAATAGGGTTGGCTTCTGCAAAAACAAAGTATTAACTTATACTCTTTCTTTTTAAATTATCTATAATTATTTATTTTTTTTTTTTATAATATTATTTTGATTTCAATTTAGTTTACCGTCTTCACCTAGCCAAACTACTATACCAAATATACCAAACTTCTAAATAACAGTGCGGTATTTAAGTAACAGTATGTTATTAAAAGATAGAAAAAACTATCGATTGATAAGACCGATTTATCGATTGATCCGTGGAACACTCTCCAGCTGTTCATAAGCTGAAGAATTTTTAGCGCAGCACAACGTGGTTCTTGTAAATAAAGACAAATACATAAAATTCCAAATAAATAAACAAGATGTTCCGCCTGCAACAATCCCAACCTGACCCAGCGGAGGAGCAGAAGCGAGTTGCCGCCGAAGTACGCTTCAACTTTATTCTTTTCGGCACAATCTGCGCTGCCATCAGACTGGGTATGAAAAACCAATTATGTAAAGTGCGTTTATTTATGTTTCTGCTTCCCAAACAGCTCCCGTAGTGCTGCAGCATTTAAACACGTCCTAGGATTAAAGTCGTTATCATTTAATGGAAACTAAGAAGTTAAGGAGAGCTACAAATTATTTAGTTGTTCAAGAAATTTAGTCAAGACTCCTATCAACTGGCACTAATTGCATTTATCAGAAGGCACTTTGACTAATTTTAAAATCATGCTTAACTCAAGGCATTTTTAACTATTGAAGATTCTAAAACTATCAAAAATGAACCAGTTATAAATATGTTGAAAATTGAATAAAGATCAAGATTTAAGCAAGATTTGTGTGGATTTAATAAAGTTTACTCATAGTTTGTACTTATAGAGTTGTAATGACCGAAGTTTTAAGAGTGTAACTTTAAATAAACGAAGGACTACACTTGTACTAAAAAGAGTCACGGAATGTGGAATAGAATTTAATGAGCTACACTTTTTTGCTAGAAAATATAATAATATAAAACCCAAATAAAGTTCTTAAGTCAGAAAAAGCTCATTTGAAAATTGCGCAAAACTATCACAATGGTCACACCACCAAATAATTATCGATATGTTCGCTGGCCAGCTGGCGATAACCTGTGTATAAACAGTTGGCAGAAAAACAAGAAAACAGAAGTCGGCCGACAGAATGTGGCTAAAAAGAAAGCAATTTGTATGAGTAACGAAAGCGCGGCGCCAACGAGTCACAATAATTGTACGAGGGGCATATAAAACGCAAGCAGATAGCGAGCGGGCGGCGGGGAGAGCTGCACAATTCCCAAACATATGGACGCAGTACGCCAACTCCAAAAGATAACGAACGAAGTGAGAGACGCCATCCGTCGCCGTGGTCGTCGCCGTTGCGTAGCAATATCAATTTACTTTTTACCAATTTGCAGATATACAGATACCAGGCTACTCGATTCCGGCTTCGACTCCCGCCGCGATAAAATAATGGTGGCCGCGAAGTACGAGCGTATTTCTTCCAACGCCACGGGCAACGCCAGCGAGGCCGAGGAAGAGGAGATAGAACTAGAACTGGATCTGGGCCAGAAGAATCGCAACGCCGCGCAGCAGAATGGCAAAGACAGTCGACCCCGTCAGACGAATTTTAACTACGTCACCAGTAGCAGAGCGGCGCAGAACGGCGGTTCCGGCAACAGCGGCGACTCCACGGCCACGTTGCCACAGGAAAAAATGGCCGAGTCGCAGTTCATGCAGATGGCCATTGGCACCCTGGTCATAATCCTTCTGTACCTGACTCTGTCCATCACGTTGACCTTCTACCAAACGGACATCAACCGGGCGATGCCCTTCCCGCTGGCCATTGTGTCGTACCATCTGATCGTGAAATTCCTATTGGCGGCCACCATCCGCAGGATATACAAGCTGAGAGTCGGGCGGTCTCGGGTGCAACTCGACTGGCGGGTGGCCCTCAGGAAGATGGCGCCCACCGGCGTGGCCAGCGCCATCGACATTGGCTTCTCCAACTGGGGACTAGCCCTGGTGCCGATCTCCCTCTACACGATGACCAAGTCCTCGACCATTGTCTTCATCCTGCTGTTTGCCATTGCTCTGGGGCTGGAGAAGAAGGTGAGTGCCAGCTTTATAAATTGACACATGTGGTATATATTCCTTATCGGCTCAACAAATGCACCTGAAATGCAAGAAAATATATATATTTTAGATAAAATTAATGACTCTGTTTGGAGGTGTTGGATTTCAGACTGGTTTTACTTTAGATAAGTTTACTTTAGTTTAAGAATAATGTAAAAAAACAAAGAGAATATCTAGTTATAGGTTGGAATCCAGACATATCTAAAGACTGATAAAAATATATGTATAATCGTTGGAAAACTTTGATAAAATTATATTTTATTGTCAACCGATAAGGTCCAACATACATTCATTCATTTGTAGATTACTATTTAGTTTCAACAAAAATAGAATCAAATATTAATGAAATTAGCACCAGATAAGACTACTTTTATTGTTTTAATTTTAATTTACAACTCGAGTTTATCATTAAAGATACGAGTGCTTGGTAAACCCTTTTAATCTTATCCCCTCTTCTAAAAACAATTTTATTTGCATTTAACTTTTTGCAGAGCTGGTATCTGGTGTCGATCGTGGGCCTGATTGGCACCGGCCTGGTCATGTTCACCTACAAGTCCACCCAGTTCAATGCCCTGGGCTTCTTCTTCATTCTCTTCGCCTCGCTGAGCAGCGGCCTGCGCTGGAGCTTCGCCCAGTTCATAATGCAGAAGTCCAAGCTGGGCCTCCACAATCCCATCGACATGATCTACTACATGCAGCCCTGGATGATTGCCTCCCTGGTGCCTCTAGTTTGTGCCATAGAAGGTGGGAGACAGTACATGACAATAATGGTCCACTTTTTAATGAAACTGATTCTTCCAGGCCCCAGACTTCTGCTGGTGATGGAGGATCTGCACAATCATACCTTGGCCGAGATCTCCTGGGCGTGGGGGCGAATCAGCGTGGGCGCTCTACTCGCCTTCCTCATGGAGTTTGCCGAGTTCCTGGTGCTCTGCAAGACCTCCAGCCTGACCCTGTCGATAGCCGGCATCTTCAAGGACATATGTCAGCTGGCCTTGGCCGTGACCTTCAAAAAGGACCAGCTCAGCCTGATCAACGTCATCGGTCTGGTGGTGTGCCTGGCGGGAATAGTGTGCCACCTGCTGCACAAGTACTCCACCATGCAGGACTCCCAGAAGCAGCAGCAGGCGGACTTCGACAACGACAATGAGGACTCTTCGGGCGAGTACACGTTCAACGAGGGAGGCGGTGCTGGCAGCAGTGCGGGTGGGGGTGTGCACGTGAGGTCGCACTCCACGCTGACGGTGCCGTTGCTGGAGCAGACCGACTCCGAGGACGAGTCGGGCAACGATCCTGGCAACAAACAGAACGCCTCCGATGTGATCTTCGACGTGCTGAAGCGGCGCGACATGCAGCGATGAAACTGCAGTGAACCGACTGTCCAGGACTCTGTCCAGGACATTGTCCTGTAAATGTTGTAAATGTCTACTTGCCCCCTTCACCCCTCTGATGATTCCCTACGCATTTGCTAGGCTAGACACTGTAACTATATTTGAGACGTAAGCGATTCAAAGATAGAATCAGAAGGTAGATATGGACACTTCAAAGTGATTATTACAGATCCTGATGACTTTTAAGAAATCAAAGAATTTTTTAAGCCATTCTTTCCAACTGTCCAAAGTTAACTACTTAGCCTTACTCCCTTTTTTTGTCCTCTTAAGTAACAACTTTGTAAAAATAGCACTTAAGCAGCTTAGTGTCCCCCTGGATTGTACCTCAATTGCTCTAATTTTTCATTCCAATCATGCTGATCCTCAAAAGCAATTCCAAATTGAAAACTTCTCGGAAAAAGACTTCAAAAGCGTCTGACGAACTGGAAACAGGCCATTTATTTTTTTGTAGAACACTAAAAACTTGTCCTTAATGCTTTTAGTTAATAGTGCTCCTTTGTTGTTGAGTTTTGACATATGGTATCGATAAGTTGATAGGATAATTCCAATTATATATTAAATACACAGTATATAAACTTATACAGACTCTTCACTCGAACTCGGCGGAAGGTTCAACGCAGTCGAACCGGCGCACATCGAGAGCATCCTAACTAGGCTGGACGCATTGGCTATTTGGTTCCTCCAAATAGCAATGTTCCTCTTCTTACTTCTTAATTCTAGTTCTACAAGTCTAATATTTGTTTGGGTTTGGCTTCCAACTTCGGTTTCTTGTTTGGACGAGCCTGGCCGACGACCTCGACGATCAGGTTGTGACGACGCTTCTGGGGTTTCTGTGATGCATCAGAAGAGTCCATTTTCTTGGCTGTATCCTGCAGCTCAACGGTAATAATCTTGGGGTTCTTTGCTTCCCCTGCTGGTACTTCAGAGTGCGGCACCATCGACTCCTCGAATCCAGAGTCGGGACTAGGCCAGTTCTTGTTATTTTGGCCAGCCGGTAGCTCCTCTGGTAGTTTCGGAGTTCCGACATGAGCCACCCTATTGGCGTCGTAGTAGTGGTGCAGACTGAGTATGTCGGAGTAGGGCTGGACCTGGGCCTCGCTGTAGGTAGTCAGCTTCTTGAGGTAGGGCGTCCAGCGTTCCAGGCCGATCACCTGTCGCACCGTCGCAATGCAAGCGGCAGCCAGCAGCGAAGGAAGTTCATTCCCAAATGTGGTAACTGGAATGAGATTCGTCAGGATAGGATTACCCCAGAAGGTTTCAAATATTTACTGCTCAGAGTGTAGTCAGATAGTCGGAGAAGCAACTGGGCTAAGGAGCTCAGCATTTGCTCAAAGCTCTGGTATCGCGGGTACGGCGATTCGATGGACAAGTCCCTCTCGTAGTTGGCCATCATTTCGTCGTAGGCCGCAAAGTCATCGCGGGTGAGGAACCTGCAGGCGAAAAGCTCCACGAAACTGGCGGTGGTGGGACGCACCAGCTCAAAGTCCATGAAGCCGAGGATCTTGCGCTCCACGGCCTTGTACTCGAAGGCGGTATAGGCGTTCTTAACCATCTCGTTCATTTCGCTGTACCGCGGAATGCAGGCGTCGGCGCTCTCGATTTGGGCGGCGATGTGCAGGCAGGTGAGCGCAGTCAGGTCCAGCTTGTCCGGGCGGATTCGGTAGTAGTCCAGTAAGCGATCCATGTAGTACAACGCTGAGTAGGGGAGCTCTATTAGTCTTTTTTCATTGGCGGACTGACGCTACTCACCCAAGTGGAGGGCGCAGCGACTGAGCTTGTGGGCGCGCGTCGCCGTTTGGAGAATGTAGACAATTTTGGGGCGCTGGTCCAGTTGGGTCGAGAGGAAGTACAGGGGACGGCGGCGCAGCTCCTGCTCCTTCATGGTCTCGAATATGTCTTCGGTATAATCGCTTAGCCAGTGCATTTTGTAGAGTCTCTGAAAAACAGTCCTTCCATTTAATCTCATTCCGATGTCGCGCACTCGCAGTCTACCTCTAGTTCTGGTTGCTGCTGGAATGGGTCTTCTTTTTCGATGGTAACGAAACCATCCTCCTCGGCGGAGCGCTTCTCCATGATTATACAATTTTTGTGAAAAAATACTCCTTAGTTCAAAGCGCTGGCATTGCAAACGAAAATGCGAAAACAAATACGGTGGGAATTATGGCGCCAAGCTAACGGAACTTTTATACTTGAGTCCAGCGTTGCCACCGAGTCGAAGACACTTTGAGGTGAAATACAGGAAACTCACCTCGAAAGGAATATGCAGTATATTTAGTATTTATTTCAAACCGATAAATTTTGAAAATTACCCGCCCATTAAAAACAAAATATACTTTGTCTGAATGTATCAACATTATTTAATATTAAAATTCACGTTGAAATCCGTTGTTTCAATGAAATGATAATGAAAACTACAGAAAACAACTCAAGACAATTGAAAAGTAAGATAATTAAGGAAAATAAAAAGGAACCAGAATTCTTTCATAGAATTATACGAAAAAGTAAGGAAAAGTTGTCAAAATAAAAAAAAAAAACACGTTAAGGCACGCATCCAAAGGTGTCCTTCATGGCGTCATCTTCCTCGTCGGTGTCGTGGATATTCGGTGGCAATTCGCATCCAAAATAGGCGTTGTTGTTGGCACAGAAGACGATCAAGGTGCGCCAGTTGTCGTCCACGGACAAGAGATGGGGATTCCCAAAGATAATCATTAGAGTGCGGGCACGGGAGATGGCCACGTTCATCCGCTTGTTGCAGCGCACGAAGCCCAGGCAGAGGCGGTAATCAGCCCGGAGAATGGACTCGGTGGAACGCACGGTCGAGATCAGCATTATGTCGCGCTCCTAGAAAGAAAATTCATCAAGTTTTTGGACCAAAATTAAGCACTGTATGCCCACCTGTCCCTGAAACTCCTCCACAGATCCTACTTTCGGCATCGCCACATTTGTGCCCATGAACAGGGTCCGAATGGTCTTCACCTGCTTCACGTACGGCGTCATAATGCCGATCTGGTCCGTGGTCACGTTGCAGCGGTACAAGGCAATGGTCATCAGGAAGAGCTCCCTGGCCTCGGCGGGATTGTACCACGAGGGAGAGTCGCTCTCCTGCATATTTTCCCCAGTGATCCCGTAAAAGTAGGTGCCGTGGCTCTTGGGCATGTCCACGTTGGGTTCGAAGACCTTCAACAGTCCTGCCAGCTGCTTGGCTTCGCGGGAGTTCTTCTCGTCGACCATCGCCACCAGTTCGTTGTCGTAGAAGAGCTTGCTGTAGATGCTCATGATCGAGGGCAGGGCCCTGTAGTTGTAGAGCAGTTTGGTCAAGACGAGGGGATTGTATCCGGATGTCTCCCGATAGAGCTGCAAATTCTTCCTGTAGGGCTCGCTCTCGAGCAGTCTTTCCAAGTAGGACTTGGACAACCCCATCTGCGCCGCGTAGTGATTGATAACGATGGCCTGCAGCTGGTGGGGATCGCCGGCAAGGATGGTCTGGCCGTGGCCCTTCACGAGCAGCACATTGGGGATCATTGTCTCCGGCTCGGTGCACTGACCAGCCTCGTCAATGAGCACGTGCGTAAAGTGGGCCGGCTCGAAGCCCATCTGCAGGAAGTTGCCCAAGGTGGTGCACGTCGAGATGGTGACCTTGTGGTTGCCCATAAACTTCATTTGGCAGCGCAGCTTCAGGCCCGACTCGGTAACCATCATCTATCAAGAACAGAAGCATTAGTACCACATACATAGTTTACACTGGAAGACCAACTCACGCTATCGTTGCAGGTGCCTATGGATCCAATGTCCACAGTGGCGCAGTAGTTCATCAGCTCTGGGGCGATCAAGTCCTTCTCAATCTGGTTCTGGGACACCAGGCGGATAAAGTCACCCGGGCGCAAGGCGTTGCTCTCAATGATCCTCTTGGTGAGCAAATCCGCCGAGCTGTTTGACGGAGTTCCGACCAGGAGTCGTGAGCCCGGCACATTCCTCACCAGCTGTAGGATGGTCTCCACCAGGGTCACAGTCTTCCCGGTGCCAGGTGGCCCGAAAATCACGTAGGGCACGTGAAGGGCCTCGCCACGCAGAATATTGAAAACTGCACGCTTCTGGATGCAGTTGAGCGAGGCATTGTACCACGGAACGGGCGAGTCGAACAAGTACATATCTTCGCCCTCCATTCTGACCTCTAGCTGGGGATTTGTGCGCATGTGGATCCTCTTCGGGAAGAGGAACTCCTCCCCCAGCTGGGTCACAATGCGCGATACGGCGTAGTGCTGTTTGCGGAAGCCGAAGCGCGAGAAGAAGAACTCGAGGCGGTAGTCCTCGCCGTTGTACTTTTGGTGGAAACTGTTGTTGAACTTGAGGAGGACCCGGTTGAAGAGCACCTTGTGGATGATGCCCTCGAAGGTCTTCTTGTCGCCCGACTCGCTGTCCCCCCAGGGATTGACGGCTCGCACCACATCCCCCACGACCAGCGAGGGGCGGCGCTCGGCCAGGTTCTCGATCTGCAGGGACAGGAAGTCGGTGTCCCGTTGGAAGTGGGCGCGATCTCGATCATAGTTGCGGAAGTTGATGAAGTACACGATCTCCTCGAGGTGCAGCAGCAGACTGAAGCGCTGAATGTAGTTGACCATGTTGAGCGGTTCCTTGATGTACGGATAGTTTGTCTCAATGGATTCCAACATTTCCATGCGGCGTTCGGTGGTGAGGTAGAGCAAGCGCAGCTTCTCGGGCACCTAGGAGGACATAGTTATCCTTCGATGGGATAGAAGGGGTCGTCACTTACCTCAAAGTAGCCCAAGCGGATGGCCACAAATCGGCGCTTGGTGGCAATGCCCTCGCCCGGCACCACCTCCCCCTTCTTCGACCACACCTGGTTGGCATAGTAACGAGACCTCTGCCCCACGGTGCGTCCTGGAGCAGCGAGGGTGTCGGCGGCTGTCAGGCGTCTGCTAGCCCTTGTGGCCTCCTCTTCGCTCGCGCACACAATTACAGTGAAGCAGCGGGTCACCTTGAACCTCTCAAAGTGGAAGGTGAACCTCTCGGTGGCTTCGCCCATAAACTTGGACTCCACCTCCAGGACAACCGAAATATGGCCGCCGTTGACGACATCAACCACCTCCTTGGGCTCAATCACGGTCAGCTGCGAGTCCGGGCCGTTGAATACAGTGATGTTAGTCAGACGCAACATCCGATTGATGTTGTTCTTCAGCTTCAGGGTGAAGCGCTGCTTCTGCCACATTTCAGTGGTGATGTGGCGATCCGGGCCAGAAATAGTGACCGGCTGGACTTCGTTCACTGTCTCCGAACTGCACATCCTCTGACCCTTCAGGACGCCAAAGTTCTTCTCCTGCAGGACTACCTTGATGGCGCGCTTCACGAACTTGCCCTGCGGAATCACTTGTTTAGTTTATGGAAACCACATGCACCACATCCACTTACATATTGGCACTCGATGAGGTCCGCCATCACTATGTCGCCCAGGTGAAGCTCCGCGCCGGGAATGTCCTCCCTCATCACATAGTAGTTGCTCCCAAGCACTGCCAAGTCGGTGTACACACGCTCCACAATGCACTTCTGCGACGGCTCGACGCGAGCCGGAAACACCCTGATCACCTGCAGGATTTCGCCCTGCTTGTCCACAAAGCCATCGTCCAGCTGGACGTCGCACTGCAGGCAGACGCGGTCGCCGCCCCGGGGCTCGAAGGTCAACTCCACCTGGGCCAGCTCGATCACCTCCTCGCCGTACTCGGTCTCCACCTCGATGGTCTCCTCCAGTCGCTTGGTTACCAGCCCCAGAACATTGCGCATCTGGGTGTTGAAGTAGGTGGGCTTTTCGGTCCTCAGGCTCGCCACCGACTCCTTGATCTGAAAGGCACAGGCTGAGACTATAATCGGCAAGAATAGACCTATAGTTTTGTTACCTCGGTGTCGTTGACATCGTCCCAGACCTGCTCGACAATCTTTATTATTTTGATCACGGTCTCCGGCCCCTTCGGAACCTTCCTGTAGGTCAGATACTCCACCTTGGAGCCGAGATGCAGCTCGTGGTAAATGCTTTCGGCTGCCTTGATAGAAAACTCCAGGATGTGATCGATGAGACCTCCGCCTATGGATAGGCGAGTGATCACTCCCTTGCGCGAGGAGCAGGACTTGTCATTTAGGCTCAGTTTGGACAAGTCGCTCCCTAAGTCATCCTCCGCAATGCCTGCGCTGCCATCCTCCTGGTGCCCAGTCGCCACTTCTTCCTCGATGCGCTTCATCATGTCCTCCTTAATGATCTCCTGGTCCAGGAAGTTGTTTTCTTCCGCTAACAACTCCAGGGACTTGTCTCGCTGGCGATCCATATCCAGGAACAACCCGCGCACAAAGGCCAGCATGGTGCTGCCTGGTTTTTGCTTCGTCAGGGGTTTTGTTGCGTTTCGTTTGGGTTTGGGTTTCCGATGACCTTACTGCTGAGGCTTCTTGTCGAGACTGTCGTACATCCAGTCCGTTTCGCTGATGTGGACCAATTCCTTGCGCAGATTCTGCAGCCGCTTCAAGTGGCTGTCTGCTGTCTCGGCCCGCGCCCCGCTGTCGCTCCCAATCACAGATTCTGAGTCAGCTTCGCTCTCCGCCTTCTTCACGAGGGTCTCCTACAAAAGTGTCGTTTTAAACGATTCAATGGTTTCAAGATTGGTTTCAAAATACAAACAAAGTCGAGAAGTGGGTCTTGTTTTGTTTATAAATTATACAATCTTTCAATGGTTTTATGGACTTTTCTGATTTTTGAGATGGAAAGTTAAGACCTTTAATAAATTTTATTTTCGATAAACTAATTTTTTCTATAATATTATATAGTATCTAGCGACTATATCCTGTAGAATCTACAGGAATCTATCTACAGTGTAGATATATATATGTACATACATAGCTCCTAGTTTGGATTTAGAAACCTGGGTATTTCTTCAAAATTTAAATACTTAATTATTCTGATATTAAAATTTTCATAAGGATCACCCGAATATATCCCATATTGTCTAAAATTATATTAGTAACTCTTATAATAACAAGAAAGGAAAGCTAACTTAGGGCGGAGCCGAAGTTGATATACCCTTGCAGTTGAAACCGGATATATATCGCAATAATCGTATATAGTTGATCTTTAAGGATGATCCTTATGAGAATTTAGTATTATACAAAATCAATTTATTGGTATTACAAATACTAAAAAAAGTCCCAAACTTCTATTTTCAAAAATACCAAAGTTGGTATTTCTACCAAAAACCATTTCCGATCGTTCAATTATATGGCAGCTATAAGATATAGTCGGCCGATCGTTATGAAATTTGGTATGTCGGATCAACTGACCAAAAATATAATCTGTACCAAGTGCCAGCTTTCTATCATCCAAAACACGAAAGTTGGGTCATTTCCGATCTTTGCGATGGCAGCTATACGATATATTTGGCCGATCCTTATGAAATTCGGTATGTCGTATTCTTTTGCCAAAAATAGCATTCATGCGAAATCCGAACTCTTTAACTCTAAAAACACCATAGTTACACCATAGGAGTTATAGTATTTCCGATCAATCAGTTATATGGAAAAAGTTTACAGGTTAAAGTTTTCTTAGTTATTAAAAGAAAACTTTACGCCTAGCACGTGCTTGCGACAAAAAGTCCTTTTTTTTCTGGCCACTTAAAGGTTAAAGCTCTAAAAAAAACCGTATGCACACAACCTTTCCTCCTCTCCTGCTTCCTCTCGATTCGATATAACCTCATTTCTCGTTTGAGAAGAACATGTTGAAAAAAGAAAATCGAAAGTCACGTTTTATGTTCGAAGCACCGAAAATTTGCACAGTTATGTTTCTTCTTCTTTCTTCTTCCTTCCTTCTTCTTTCACACTTCTTATGTTTTCTACACTAAAATTCACTTCAAACTTCACTTCACGTAAATATATAGCATGTATTATAATATATTACTTAAGAATATTTAGAAAATGATATGCAAACCTCTGTTCCGGCTTCTAAATCAGTACTATTCGCGATTCCACTTGTCGATGCTTCTTCTTTAATGGACATGACCCTTCAAGCGAGTTCTCCTATTTCCAGCTGAAATTCGTTATTAAATTGCTGAGGCTTGGGGTTTTCCTTAAAAATATAATACTTACAAGATGGCTTGGGTTTCAGAACCTTTGGCTGAAGAAATCGGAAGTGCGAGTGAAAAAAGAAAGGTCGAGAAATTCCCGAAAAGCTTGAAAGAACGTCTGCACGCTTTGAAGACCAGAAGGAAAAGAACTGTCAAAAGGAGTCGCAGGGCTGCCAAAAGTTGGGGTCCCTTTCGATACTTTTTGATATCGGGAATCCCAAAATAAATTTTAAATTGGCGCTATGATTAGTTTTAAAATTTGTTAATCGAAGTTGGAAGCGACTTATGAAGTAAACTTTGCTGCTACACTATAAGCCAGAAATTATTGTTATTTTCCTTTTATTGAAGAGAAACAGATCTATTCGAATATTAACTGGTGTTTTATGTTTTATTCAGAATATTTAAATAAGCTTTTTAAGAGCATTTAAATCACCGCAAAATGTAAACAAACAATCAGCTGTAGAGATGGCCGGGCGTGAAGTTTACGCCGATAGAGATGGGTAAAAAATCGATTTTTGAAAAAGTACTGAATATCGATAAGTGTTTAAAATTAATGAAAATATTTAAAAGTATTAAGTAAGTAGGCCTTGATTAACCTTTCTGTAAAATACCTCCTTAAAAATAGTACTGGTATAGCATATAGCCTCTAAAAACAAGCCTCTTAAAACTAAAATCAAATGTTTAAAATTTATCTGCAACCACGAATTCTTCTGGTTAAGAAATTTCTGGAATATGTTTAGCGGTACACTATTTAACTAATAAAATAAATAAAAAAACAGAAGTAACAGCACTTTAAGGCGACATATGTGACCAACAAAATAATCAAATTCAGTTCATAAATGACCACCAAAGAACAGCTGCGATAAATGGTTCACCCTACTGGCATGCCAGCGCCGCGGCAACTCTGGACGCAAAACAACAACATATGATGCACATAACCTCAATCGATATCGAAAACCCGCAATAACACCCCGCACTGCATCCTCCCGTGATAGCGTTTCAAAAATCCGACTAAAACTGTCCCCAAATTGGCCAGCAGACTGTTGATCCAGCGTCGAGTGACAGCCCAGCAGTTCCCGTTCCGCGGAGCAGCCAATCCAATCTCTGAGGGAAAGCGAGGAAGAGTGTCAAGCGTCGCCAGCGTTTTCTTTTTTGGCAGACAGAGCGTCGCGTACGAAAAACTTTCAGCGGTGAATAACCCACAGCTTTTCGTTTTTGGTCAGAGGAGAAGCAGCGCGTTGCAGTCGCGGCCGGGAAGATGGGTAAAACTAAAAAGGGCAAGAAAGAGATACTGACCAAGGTCGAAGACGGGTCCTCAGTGGACGAAATGTGAGTAGAAAAGCAGTCGGACACCTGCCAGGTTGGCAACTTTCTAAACTGTAACATTGCAGCTCCGACGTGGACAGCGACCAGGTGAGCCTAAACAACAAGAAGAACCAGCCACCCAAGGGCAAGAAGAAGCCCCAGAATCTCTCGGAGGACGAGGGCAGTGCTGGTGAGGATGTTCAGACGATCACGAAAGCTGTCAAGAAGCTGAATGTGAAGGGCAAGGGCAAGCAGTCCAAAGATGCCGATTCCGACGAGGAGGAGACGGCGGCCCCCAAGGGCAAGGCTGCCAAGAAATCCGCCTTTGAGCTTCTGATGGACGACGATGACCAGGACGAGCAACCGGCTCAGAAAAGCGAATCGGAAGAGGAGGAGGTGGTGAGCAAGCCCCAGAAGAAGAACGAGAAGAAGGGCAAGAAGGCCAAGCGCAAGGGCAAGGACGACGAGGAGGAGGATCTGGACAAGGTCCTGGCCGAGCTGCAGGCAGAGTACGCTGGCGGAGCTCCGGCCGCAGCCGTTGTCTCCCCCGATGACCTGGCCGATGAGGAGTTCTCCAAGAAGAAAAAGAACAAGAAGCAAGCCCAGGCCAAGGCGCCGGCCGAGGAAGCTGGCGAGGATGGAGCTGGTGATGAGGATAACGACGACGATGAGGGTGGCAGCACCATGAAGACGGCCGCTCAGAAGAAAAAGGAGAAGAAGGAGCGCCAGAAGAGGGAGGCAGCGCTGGCCAAGCAAAAGGCAGCCCAGGAGCCCAAGCCTAAGGTGGCCGAAAAGCCCCCACCAGCTCCAGAACCGGAGCCAGAGGCCACCGAGGAAGTCCAGCCCGAAGCTGCTGAGGAGGAGGAAAAGACTGGCAAGAATCAGAAGAAGAAGGGCAAGAAGGACAAGAAGGCCGAGGCTGAGGAGGAGAAAAAGGACACCAAGAAGAAGGGCATGTCCGCCGCCATGGTGGCAGCCATGCAGGAGCAGCTGAAGAAGCGAAAGGAAGAGGAGGAACGCCTCCAGAAGGCGGAGGAGGAGCGCATTCGGTTGGAGGACGAGCGCGAAGAGGCCCGCCTGGCTGCCGTGCGTGCGGAGGCCGAGAGGAAGGAGAAAAAGAAGCAGCGCGAGGCGGAGCGGAAGGCTCGTTTGAAGGCGGAAGGAAAACTCCTGACCAAGAAACAAAAGGAGGACAGGGCCAGGGCCCAGGCCCTGCTGGAGTCCCTCAAAGCACAGGGTCTGGAGATTCCCGATCCCAACGAGAAGCGCGCCCCACGTCCAGGTACCTTTGATCGGTTTTAATCCTTTAAAGCTTTTATTAACTCTTGACATTGCAGGAACCCGTATCCGTCCGAACAAGAAGAGGGGTCCCAAGGACGAGGCAGCCGAGGCGGAGGAGGCCAAGGCAGCGGAGGAGAAGGCAGCTGCCGCCGCCGCTGCAGCAGCCGCAGCCAAGAAGGAGAAAGAGGAGGTGGTCAAGGACAGCTGGGATGCCACCGACAGCGAGCCGGAGCCCGAACCGGAGGAAGAGTCCTCGCAAACCACAACCAACAACGGCAAGGCCGACGCCGAGGAGGAGGACGAGGACACTGATGAGGACGACAGTGAAGACGACGACGATTCCGATGACTCGGACGACGACAGCGACGAATCCGATGAGAAGGACACGGCACAGGCCAACGACCCAGAATCTCGAAGACTGCGGGCGGAAGCGCGGATCCTCAAGCGGCAAGCTGATGCGGAAAAGAAGCGCACCACCGACGACCTGAGAGCCGGAGTGGTGTGTGTCCTGGGCCACGTCGACACGGGCAAAACCAAGATCCTGGACAAGCTGCGACGCACCAACGTCCAGGACTCGGAGGCGGGTGGAATAACACAGCAAATCGGTGCCACCAATGTGCCCATCGATGCCATTAAGGAGCAGGTCCGGTACGTGAAGGCCGCCGTGGGATTCGAGCACCGGCTGCCCGGACTCTTGATCATCGACACCCCTGGCCACGAGTCCTTCAGCAACCTGAGGAACCGAGGCTCCTCCCTCTGCGACATTGCCATCCTGGTGGTGGACATCATGCACGGCCTGGAGCCGCAGACCCTCGAGTCCATCCAGCTGCTCAAGAAGAAGCGGTGTCCCTTCATTGTGGCCCTCAACAAGATCGATCGTCTGTACGACTGGAAGGTCCTGGCCAGACGCGACGTCCGTGACGTCATCAAGGAGCAGGCGAGCAACACCCAGATGGAGTTCCAGCAGCGCACAAAGGAGGTGATCCTGCAGTTTGCCGAGCAGGGCTTGAACGCCGCCCTGTTCTACGAGAACACGGACCCCAAGACCTACATCTCCCTGGTGCCCACCAGCGCCATCACCGGCGAGGGCATGGGCAACCTCCTCTTCATGATCACCGACTTCTGCCAGAACATCCTCACCAAGCGTCTGATGTACTCCGACGAGCTGCAGGCCACCGTGCTGGAGGTGAAGGCCCTGCCCGGCCTGGGCACTACCATCGACACGATTCTGATCAACGGCAAGCTGAGGGAGGGCCAGACCATGGTCGTGGCCGGCACAGACGGGCCGATTGTCACCCAAATCCGATCTCTGCTCATGCCCCAGCCCATGAAGGAGCTGCGCGTGAAGAACGCCTATGTGGAGCACAAGGAGGTGAAGGCGGCCCAGGGCGTCAAGATAGCGGCCAAGGATCTCGAGAAGGCTATTGCCGGCATCAACCTGCTGATAGCCCACAAGCCGGATGAGGTGGAGATCTGCAAGTGAGTCACCTTTTTAACCTTATACCTTGGATAATCCTATCGATTTTTGCTTTTCAGGGAGGAAGTTGCTCGGGAGCTGAAGAGCGCCCTTAGTCACATTAAGCTGGCCCCGTCGGGGGTGTATGTCCAGGCCTCTACTTTAGGATCGCTGGAGGCCCTTCTCGAGTTCCTGCGCACATCAAAGATTCCGGTAAGTGGGGGATAGTATCTATGGTCCGATCTATGGTCTTCCCCTTCTGGGGAGACTGCTCTTGTTTAGACAATTGGCATCGGAATAGGGCGGGATAACCTTTTAATAGGTGAGCTCTGGTATTTATGTAGACATTATTTATTTCTCCCCATGGCGGGCCGTTTTCTAACAGCTCGTATAATCCCCGACTATAAACAAACTCTCGGCCTGGCCGCAAAATAAAAAATAAATAAATAAAAAAAAGATGGTCGAGACTGGGTACGCAATTTGGAAAATTCGCATGTTCTGTTTTTGGCTTTCGATATCTTGCAAATTGAATTTTTTTGCGGCGACAAAGTTGTAAATTCAGTCGCTGGCCGAAGACTATTTCTGATGGGAATTATGAGTGCGTGAGAAGGCGGGGAATGTACTGCCCCCGCTCCCGATCCCGCACCCGATCCCGATTCCGATCTCTCAGTCTGTGCAGACTATGCCGTAAACATAAAATGCGTATTTTTGTAAAATGCAGGCAGTGCGGTGTAGTCTTGGCACTCGAAAAAAGATATGACGATGGCTCCGAGGATGAGGATGAGGATGATTCATGCCAGAGGCAGCCGAGCGGCGGGCTCGCGGCCAACAGAGGAACACGCACTGTGTAACCATTTCAGTCGCTGTCTGCCCCCCAGTCTCGAGAAGATTGAACACCCAACTAAAAATACTGGCCGCTCTATATAGCTATAGATATATAGATATAGCGATATATACTGTGATACACATACAGGGGGTGGCTGCCGGCCGGGAGAGCGGATATGACAACTCGAATTCCAATTTGGCAAATATTTGATTTCTAGAAAGCAATCCAATCGGACCCTAATCAAGTTTGCTGGGCCGTTTTAATGCGAATTAGATAATCAGAAATGTGGCTTATTTAATTTATTTTCGCTTAACTCAGCTGCGGAAATGTTGCAGCGGAAGCGCGGATAAAGTTAACACTGAAGGCCAAAAACAATGGGAATTATTTGATTCCGATTCTGAAGTTCT